ATAAAGCAACATTTTCATTAGAGAACAAAGAGTTTCTAGTGTTACGCTTTGCATGCAGCTGATATTTTCTTTGTTTTGATCAGAATCTGGTGAAAGGGACGAGACAATGAAATCATTATTATTACGCTGAAATAATCAGATTTGTGCTTATTGTCTCAGATGTGGATTGGTACAAACCTTTTAACGAAGTGTGAGGTCACATGATCCAGATGTGATCCAGATGCAGCTCTGAGGGAAAATCTCTTATTCAATGACTTATACAAGGAAAACTTTCTGGAATGCAGAACATCCCTAAATCCACTCCTCTGTCTTCTGCTGCAGAGTTGGAAAAGGTTAAAATGTTTTATTAAGATTGACTTTTGGAATCTAGCAACAACTTTAATGCCTCCCTGTTCTGGATTCGGTCTCCTGTGACCCAGAAGTTGTGATGCATAGCAATTGTACAGAATTTAGACTTAGACTTGGACTTTATTGATCCCTTGGGAAGATTCCCTCAGGAAATTAAAGATTTAAAGAATTAAATGAAAGAATTTATTTGAAAAGGTAGAAGATAAAAATCTTCTGATTTCCTCCCCTTCTCATACTCATAACCCACTAACTGTTAAATCAGTAAACTCTTAAATTATTCCCACATTATTGAACTTTACATTCTCATCCTTAAATGTAGTTATTTATATATATTTTTAACAGCAGTTTTGGTTTTTGAAACATCTGTTCTATATGACATATTTCACCATAAGCTCTTTTTAAAAACAGTTTTAAAGATAGTTTGTATTTGTACTCTAAGCTCCTTATTTAATCTATTCCATAAATCCAGCCACACACTGAATTGTCCTGTTAAGTTTACAAGTTCACAGAATTTCACTGCATTTGATTTAAGAAATAATGGATTCGTTTGGATTGAATTCTTTGTATTATGTAAATGTCTGTAAATGTGGATCTCATGTATTGTCCCAAACTTCCACACAATAAGTCAAATGTGGTTCAATGAGTGAATTATATAAAGTAAACAGATTTGTGGTCCAGAACATTTCTTTCCTTTAAAGCAGAAACAGTGAATTAGTTGTTCAAGTTAAGGAGGCTAAAAACTCTGCAGTCTTATTTTCTTCAAAGCTTTTCACTGAGGATTTGTCCATGAATAACCGTCTCTAGAGATCAGAATCCAGGGATTCATCATGGAAACGATTCCTGGCTTTTAACTGTTAGTGAGAACTGTTCCTTTTGTAGTTCATCTCAAATCCAACTGCTTTTGATTCTTCAGAACAGTGTTGAACTCCACCAGGCGAATCGAGATCATTAAAATACTGCAGTGAGAATCAGCTTTCTGTTGTCTGATGAAAATGTCTTGGTGAGTAAAAATGGAGGATGAGAATTTTGCTCAGTTTGGTTTCAGTTTCTGCTTTTTGACCTTCAAAATGTGTTAAACAAAATGCTGGGAATAAAGTCTGACTCTGAACAGAGACGGCGCCATGTTGGCTGTCTCTAGGCAGCCGTGACATCACCGTGATATCAGCACCTGAAGGCGTCAGCGGGATCCGGCTGGCCTTGATTTTACGAGACGCGCCGGTCTTATTCGCGCAGGCAAGGACCTGAAGTTTATGAGGAAAATCACTGCTGACTATGAAACGTATCTCAGCCCAAACCGGGTAGAAATGTTCAACTCACCTTTGCAAAATAATGGCCGTGTTCCTTCAGCTGCCGTTATTCCTAGTTTGGACCACCGATTTGAAATCCACAGGTACCGCTGCTTTCACAACTCACCTCCTCTTTCAGAAGAACTCTCTATGGCCTTTGCATATCTAAGTCTGTTGCTGTGTCATTTCTTGTTTTGGCTGTCTTGTTGAATAGATGCTCTCAGATCCATGACTGTCTTAGAGACATTATGTCCTGATGTCTCAAAGGTCAAAGGTCATCCTACATCTGTTGCTTGCTCAACCTTTCTTCAACAGTTAAACAATTTGTTTCCAAATAAGGATGTCACTTGTGTAACTGATTTTAATTTCATGTGTTGTTACTGTTAAACTGAACTGTCCAGCGTAGGTAAGAGGGATGATCTCGGCTTTTATTGACACGTCTGAGGAACTCAAGTTTCTGTCTCCAGTTGCTGCAATTAAATTTTATAGTAGTACCTACTACCATCTATTCATTCCATCTTTGGCATCCATGAAGCTTTTTTTCACGGTTCATTTTGTCTGTAGTTGAATAAAATCATTTATTTTTTGTTTTAAACTGGTAGAAAGCACAAAAAATAGATTTTATGTTAATTCTTCTAATTTCCTGGTGTAAAATAAAAAGCAGACATTATTCAAAGCACAGATTGGGCTTTGAAGCTCCATGTTTTCAGTTCACTGGAGAAATCATGACCAGGTCAGTAAAACTGAAGGTTCTGGAAGTGGAGCTGGTTCAGAACCACCAGTCTGGACCTGGAAGAGCCTGCGGTGCTGGCAGACATGCTGAAGCAGGTCAACAACAGGAGCGTTGAACATGAACATAAAGCTGCAGGTTTCAGGTCCAAACCAGGATTTCAGGATCCAACAGAACCAAACACCTTTCTGCCCCCTGCTGGTCTGGAGGAGAAAACGCTGCAAGTCAATGACTGCTGGGTTTCCTTAGAAACATTTCAAACTATTTTGAATAAGTAAAAATGAGCACATTGCGCCATTAAAATAAATATCTGAATTTAGATGATTGTTTTGTAAATTAGTGAATTGTTGAATAAATGAATCAAATTGAACTGAACCTTCAGAGCCGGACCACAGACTTCAGTGGATCTGAATGCAATGTGAGGGGTGAGCAGCGCTGCGGCCCACGCTGATTGACTGCATCTTATCACCAAAAATAAAATCTGTCTACTGGCTGAAAGAAAATGCTTGTTTTTTCCAAACAACTCAAAATTGCACACAGCCCCAAAACATTGTTAGTGCACACAACACTTGTAGTGAAGAACTTTTTTATTTCCATGCATTTTCTACCACTGGAAATCTTCATTTCACTGTTTCAATCTAAATAACTCAGATTACTCAGTCAACATTTTATTGTGGCTGGTCACATTTACAAATAGCACCACCTTTCACATCAAGAGGAACAAACAATGAATTAAGAGGCTAATATTTTCATTAAAGGTTATATAAATGTATTATACTGTTGTGTTGCCATTTCAAATCAGATGGTCCAGAGCGTTTAACTGGGGCAAATGGTGAAGGCCTGAAAAGGTTGGAGAAACGCTCAGAGAACGAATGTTGGAGTCAAAATGTGACAGGAAGTGATGTGAGCAGCTTCCTGAGAAATGCAGAGAACCGACTGATAGCTCATCATCTGATGGAGGAACTTCTTTACTTTTCTTCTACTCAAAATGGTTTGCAGACATAAGAGACATGGAGTGATTTCAGATTACATTGTATATGTTGGTTAGTTTGATTCTCTGTCCTGTTTTCTTTCTGTTTCTGTTAGCAGGAGCTAATGTCTATGTGAGCTATGCTACTTTAGCTCTTGGATTTTTAGTGTCACTTTGAGCCGGTTTGAGTTTGTGGTTCTTACAGAATCTGGTCTGCTTCACAGGTTCCAGTCACATTCTGGTTGATATTTGTGAAATATTCTGATATGTCTTTTATTAACCTACTGAATATAAATAGGTGAAATAAATTGCCTTTCAGGTAATGGAAAGGAAGTTTCAATATCCTTCATTACCCAGAATCCCTCAGTGGTCACATGACTGAATCAGGCTGATTGGTAGCTGTCACTGTCCTCAACGTTCATATTTACTATAACTTATAGTGAAATGAAGGGCTCTGGTGTAGCAAAATGTGCGACCTGCATGTTTAGCAGGCATGTTGTTCTCATGAAGGATTTTAGTGCATTTATATTTTTAAACGGGGATTCAGGGCTTTTCTAAAAGTTTTTGTCATTTTCATATTTTTTCCAAGTGCTACATATTATTGCTAAGCACGACTTAAATCCTGTCAATTAGATATGATCATCATAAATCAGTATTTATAAGGTCTTTGGTTTGGAAACATAATTTGAAATGTAGCACCAACAGAGCGACAGTAGCTACTTAGACACGCTGCTGTAGAAAAATCTGAACAGGAAGCACATACAGTCAGCACACCTGATCATTTTCAGATTCCAAACACTTTATTTACATAATGAAGGTCATGAATCACAGGCGCTTTCGTTTCCCTGACTCCCTTAGCCGGGTATTAGCCTAAGCTAATACTGGACTCCATCCATGTGTTCAATTCACATTTTCTAGAATTAACAGGAAATATTTCTAAAACTCTGTTTCTCATCTGATTTGTCAAAGTTATCAAAAGCTTTTAGTGTCACAGCAAGTGGGCGTGGCCATGTCTCAACACACCAACCCAGCTGCATCCCCAACACATTCACACATTAGCTGGTGACATCACGTAGCCCCGCCCCCTTTCAACAGGAAGTCACTTATTCTACCGCTGGAGGTCTTCCTTTCATTGACCTGAGGGAGAATCTGCAGGCCTCAGCCATTAACCCCTGATTGGAACTTTAAACAGCTTCTTATCAACAATCAATCGCTTAGATCCAGTTGAAGCAGTGAAAAACATTGTTAACATGGAAACAAACCCTGAAAAGCATCTTAAATCAATATTTCTGCTCTGGAATAAACCACATTTTCTCCAGCAGCACATTTTTCCTCCAGGACTTTGTTGTTTCCGTCAGGGTTCAGAGGTCATGACCTTTAGTGAAGGAGGGTTCAGCTCTTCACCAGAAATGATCAGAAAGTTGTTTTATTTCAAACTGTTTTCCTGACTGTCCCAACAAAATGAAAATGATTTCATCTGAAATGAAACTGGAAACAGACGTGTTTCCGTCTGTTTCAGTGTAAAACTGATTTTCTTGATTTCCTGAGGATCCACTTCCCCTCAGCATTCAAAATATAAATTCATCTCCCTTAAGAGATAAAATATTAACTTTTAAATTATAATATCACCCCAAACCGATCAAATATAATGATCCAGTATTTAAGTTCATCTTTCTTCTTCTTTGGTTTGTGGAGGATTTTTCCGTCTGATTGTTTCCTCCAGCTCAGTTTCACGTCTCCTTTTACTCCATCGTCCTGCAGCTTCTGTTTCAGCTGAAACACAAACACATCCTGAATATCAAAGCATTTTGATTTATTCTTTTTCCTCTCAGATTCTCCAAGCGGCTGCAGATGTTTATGATGCAATAAAAGATGATGACCTTGATCAGGAGTTCCTCCATCATGGCAGAGTCGTCCTCCGTCACAGACGATGGAAGCACCAGCTGCAGTTTCACCACATGCTTTGACTGGACCGCTTTTAGAGAAAAAAGATTTATGAATTATTATTAAAAGGAATATTGATGTGCAACATATTTTTACTAAAATAAAAGAAAAAAGTGTCGATGCTAGAGATTACTCCAGAGAAAAAGGTATTTGGTAAAAAGTTCCTGATCCAATCACCATGTCGTTGCTGCGACGGTTCAGCCTGGAACCAGGATCAGTCGGTCAGTTATTGGCTGTGAAGTTGACTGAAGAGTGAAGGATTCCTCACCAGTGTAACAAACGAAGGCTTTCTTCTCGCTGCAGTTCCAGTCCTGCCATTTCCCAGCGTTCCCAAAGTGAGCAGCAGCGCATTCCTCCTTCCCGTTGTTGTTGGGTTTCGTCTCGGTTCCAGTTCCTGAACGAGGAGTTCCTTCCATCCGCCCACTTCCAGGAGTCTCGGTACAGACCCAGCCAGGCCGCTCTGTGGACCGAACCCCGGATCGCCTCGTTGTCAGACGGGTTTCTCACGCTGGCCAGGTCTGTGTAATGCTCTCTGCAGAAGCTCTGAGCTTCAGTCCAGTTCCGTTTGGTGCTGCTGTAGTAAAACGTAGCGTTTGTTCCTGAAAACAGACCATAGCAGTGGATGAAGAAAATCTGCAGATGGATTTGAATCGCTGAGGAAAACAGAAGAGAGTCTGTTCTTTGTGTTTCTGGTGAATCCTTACCGCTGACATTGAAGCAAACCGTGGCTAAGGTTTGAGAGCAGGACACATCGTACCAGGATCCATCAGCACTTAGTGCACCGCAGCTCTCTCTGCCCAACTTATTGTCAGGTTCTCCAGCTGCCCAGTTCCTGAACTGGTTCTGATACTGGTCTGACATGGACCACCTCCAGCTGTTCACGTCTTCATGCAGTCCGATCCAGGTCCGCTGGAAACATTCAGAGGCCACAGTAAATTCAGTGTTTTATTGACAGATTGTTCCTGCCAGAAGCCTCAATGTGACTCTGCTGTCATTTTCCAGCTCATCTCCATCTGATTTGCTGCTTCTAGTTGATTCCTGAGCACGTAGCCCCTCCCACCTTCAATAAAACCAATCAGAAAGCTTCATCCCGTGACAGGGAGACGTACATTGGTTCTTCCTGCAGATGTTGCCGTGACGTTCCTCACATCCTCCATGCTGGTGATGGTTGCCAGGTCTTTGTGATTTTCTCTGCAGTATCTCTGAGCTTCTGTCCACGTCTTCAGCTCATCGACGATTATATACTCGCGTGTAGGAAGTGTTGAGTTCCCACAAACCACTGCAATGGGAAACGTATATCTGAATTATTTTAGGTTGAGCCGGGAAACTTCTGGTCTGGATTCCTTTTTATGCATGAACGTATTCATATGGACGCAGTGATGAAATAAAGTGAACTCAAGGCTGAGGTTGTCAGATCTTTGGAGACATTTTTATGGGAACGGCTGGAAGCAGAAACATTAACACTGTTTGTGATTGGCGTGTTACCCATGTTTGTTTCTTAACCTTAGTGTAAAATCCCACATTATGGATCTAGAGGCTGATGATGACTCAGGTAATCTGATCTTAAATTATCTACCAAGCCTTGCATTTTAATCTGGTTTGGAATTTTTTAATTGTCACAAAAACGTGATTTTTAGTGACAAAGTTTTACATTACTTTTGATGTGACTTTAAAGTTACATTAAAAGTAACTTTTTGTGGGTGTGCTGTGGTGGTGCAGGGGTTAAGCCACAAACGGAGGCCTGGATGGGGCCGTCGCAGGTTCGATTCCCAGCCTGGCGACCTTTGCCCTGCGTCTTCCCCTTCTCTCATTACCCACTTTCCTGTCAGTTCACTATCAAAGAAAGGAGCCAATAAAACCTTTAGAAAAGGAAAAGTAACTTTTTTAGTTACTTCCATTATTTTATAAAGGTAACATCAACATGGTTTCTCCACTGATGGTTGAACTGAAGCGGAGATTAATTAATGGTTACAACAGTACAAAAAACCCTTCAGTCATTCTTGCATGTTTCCTCACTATTGTGTGGATAAATAAATAGGATTTCAGAGACGCCTGTTTGCTGTCACAGATTAGTGACATCACAACCTTAGACACGTTCATTCCTGGCTGTTTTTCATATTAGTCTCCATGTTGCAGTCTGTTGGAGCGAAGCGCGACAGTCACAGGTAAAATATTAACTAGACATGAACAAAGACACAGTGGGACGGATCATCCGGGAAATGACTGAAACTGTCTGGATGTCAGACAAATCCTGGGGTTCATTATGAGTCTCATCAATAATGAGCCCAAAACCTGCAACGCTTTACATTTGCAAGTGACTTTAGAAAAAACAGGCCCAAAGCTGTGAATGATAATCGGACTTGGCCACAGAAACTGAAAATAGTTTCTGTTTCCCTCCCAACAAAATGTGCATATGTTTTTGTTGCTATTGATACTGTTCTTAGAAATGATGGTCGCTAAGCAAGGCGAGGAAATGAAATAAAATAGTGATAGAAAATAGTAACGCGCAGAGATTTGGATAAGCAACTTTAATACGATCAATGGATTTGGGGTAGTAATAGATTACTCAGTGAACAGGGTTCATGGTGGCTTACCACTGTAGCAAATGAACGGCCTGTGTCCATCGCAGTCCCAGTCCTCCCACCGTCCAGAGTTTCCCAGGTCTGCTAAAGCGCAGTTCTCACCTGCTCCATTAGGTTCACTGGATCCCCAGTAGCTAAACGAGAAGCTGCTTCCATCCACCCACATCCAGAAAGGTCTGTGGAAACCAATCCAAACTTTTTTTCCTGCTGGTATCAGCACCTTGATGTTCTGGATGTCTGTCATGTTTCTGACTCTGGCCAGGTCTGTGTAATGGTTTCTGCAGTAGCTCTGAGCCGCAGTCCAGTTCATGTTGACATTAATTAAGGTAAACTGAACATCTGAGCCTGAAACAAAAACTTTCATAAGCAAAACCGCAGCAGAGACCAACAGCAACCAATGTTTAAACCAGTGTTTCCCAACGCTGGTCCTCTCAGCCCACTGCATGTTTTAGGCATTCCCCTGGTTCAGCACACGATTTCAAATGAAGGCTGATGAACAGTCTTTTCCTGAATGGGTGACTGGTTCTGGAATCAGACTCCTAGGGGTTGGACATTCGTCCACTCTGGAGTGCCCCAGGTGAGCGGCACCAGGTAGGAGTGGGCATACTTGTTGCCCCCTATTTTGGTGCCTGTACATTGGGGTTTACCCTGGTGAACGATAGGAGTTACCTATGAATGGGGGATGGATTCTGACTATTTGTGTTTATTCACCAAATAGTTCAGATTACCCACCATTTTTGGAGTCCGCAGAGGATGTACGGGACAGTCCAGGGGTCTCCCTTATGTGAGACCTGGAGCGGCGTGGTTGGGAGGAATGCAGTGTCTCTGAATCATATGTGGATTGGGAGAATCTTCCCCTTGACTGCAGGTGTTTTTATAAACTGAGCAGGACAAGTGGAGGATCTGGGAGTCAGGCAGACCCAGGTCAGGAACCTGTTGGAGGTCTGTGCTGGTCATGGATTGTCCACACCCAACACCATGTTCAACCACTTGGTACCAGGACATGCAGTTGGATGATCGACTGTGTTGTCAGAGATGACAACAAAGTTCATCATTGAACCACGTCTTGGACACTCGGGTAAAGAGAGGTGCAGAACTGTCCACTGACCCTACCTCGTGGTCAGTTGGCTGCGGTGGTGGGGCAGGACGCTGCTCAGACCCGGAAGGTCCAAACGTGTTGTGAGGGTCTGCTGGGAACGTCTGGCAGAGTCTCCTGTGAAACAGAACTTTGACTCCCATCTCCGGCAGACCTTTGAACACGTTCTGGTGGAGGAGGGAGACATTGAGTCTGAGTGGACCATGTTTCTACGCCGCCATTGCCAAAGCAGCTTATCAGAGTTGTGAAGTTGAGATCTGGCTGAAGTGGCTGGAAAGAGGGAAGTTTGGGCCTCCCAACTTAGGCTCCTGAACCCGTGACCCGACTCTAGATAAGAGTAAGAAAGTGAATAGACGGACGGATGGACGGATGGGGTGTGTTGAAGCAGGGGAACATCTGAAATGTGCAGGTCAGTGTGCCTTGAGGAAAAGGGTTTGGAAAGACTGATTTAAACATCCCTTACCTCTGACCTGTGAGCAGATTGAACCTTGCAATTTAGAGCAAGGTACATCATTCCAGTACCCATCATCCACCATTTCCACGCAACTTTCTTTTCCTGCCTCGTTGTTTGGCTCACCAGGGTTCCAATTTGTGAAGTGTTTCTCCTGATGTTTGTCCAAGTCAGATTCAGAAACCGACCACCTCCAGCTGTTCACGTCATCGTACAACCCAATCCAG